AGGTCAGGTGGTTCTGGTCTGTCAGAGGTCAGGTGGTTCTGGTCTGTCAGAGGTCAGGTGGTTCTGGTCTGTCAGAGGTCAGGAGTCAGGTGGTTCTGGTCTGTCAGGGTCAGGGGTCAGGTGGTTCTGGTCTGTCAGGGTCAGGGTCCAGCTGACCTCTATCTGCAGGTCTCGGTTGGCCAGCAGGGCGTTGCTCTTCTCCTGGTTCAGACTGTTGATGTCGGCCATCAGGCTGTAGTTGTGATCTCGGAGCTGCTTCAGCTCCTTGTTCAGCTGCTCCCGCTCCTCCAGGATCTTCTGCACGCGCTCAGTCAGCTTCTTCAGCTCGCGGTCCTTCAGCTGCTGCTGGCGAGACCTCTCCTTCTGAAGACGAGACAGAAACGCAGCAAAGTGAAGACTTTTCTGTCGCCGTCACGTCCGGCTGTTGTCAGCTGGTTGTCATGCCAACCTGTTCCTTAGCAACAGAGCACGCTTGTTGGCGGCGCCTCCTCTCGTCCTGCAGCGCCCTCTGCAGCCGGCTGAGCTCCGACATCAAGAACTGGGTCAGACCGGATTCCCCTGCTGTGTCTGCACACGGACACGCAGCTTTTAGCTGTTAGCTTTTAGCCATTAGCTTCTAGCTGTTACTGGTTAGCTATTAGCTGTTAGCAGTTATCTTTTAGCTATTAGCCATTAGCTTACAGCTGTAAGCAGTTAACTTTTAGCTGTTAGCCATTAGCTGTTAACTTTTAGCTTTTATCCATTATCTTTTAGCTGTTAGCAGTTAGCTTTAAATGTTAGCAGTTAATTTTTAGTTGTTAACCATTAGNATTAGCTGTTAACTTTTAGCTTTTATCCATTATCTTTTAGCTGTTAGCAGTTAGCTTTAAATGTTAGCAGTTAATTTTTAGTTGTTAACCATTAGCCTATAGCTGTTAGCAGTTAACTTTTAGCTGTAAGCCGTTAACTATTAGCTGTTAACTTTTAGCTTTTATCCATTATCTTTTAGCTGTTAGCAGTTAGCTATTAAATGTTAGCAGTTAACTTTTAGCTGTTAACCATTAGCTTATAGCTGTTAGCAGTTAATTTTTAGCCATTAGCTGTTAGCTTTTAGCTGTTAAATATTAGCTTTTATCCATTATCTTTTAGCTGTTAGCGGTTAGCTATTTAATGTTAGCTGTTAACTTTTAGCTGTTAACCATTAGCTTATAGCTGTTAGCAGTTAACTTTTAGCTGTTAGCCATTAACTCTTAGCTGTTAACTTTTAGCCTTTATCCATTATCTTTTAGCTGTTAGCAGTTAGCTATTAAATGTTAGCAATTAACTTTTTGCTGTTAACCATTAGCTTATAGCTGTTAGCAGTTAATTTTTAGCTGTTAGCTGTTAGCTATTAGCTGTTAAATATTAGCTTTTATCCATTATCTTTTAGCTGTCAGCAGTTAGCTTTTAAATGTTAGCAGTTAGCTTTTAGCTGTTAGCAGTTAACTTTTAGCTGTTAGCATCATGAGTGAAAGCCATGAGAGTCAGACCGATGAGGATGCTGAAGGTCTTGTTGGGCTCCTTCCCGGTGATGTGGCGGTACAGCTGAGGGTAGTCCAGCTCCAGGCTCTCCAGGAAGGCGGTGTAACCTTTCATACCTGTCCTCTGCAGGGTGTCCAGCAGAGCTCCTGCAGGTCAGACAACACCTGGTCACACCTGAGCCTGAACCAGGGTCTGACATGATCCTGGACTCTGAACCTCTGAGGTGACCTGCAGACCTGTCAGGTGACTGAAGAGGCTCAGGTAGAGGTTGAAGTCAGTTTTATAACCATGTTCTGTCTGATGGTTTTACATAGTGATGATGTAATGTCCATGACATCATAGAGCAGCAGAGTCTTCCTCCAGTCTGGTCAGACAGAACAGATGGACCCAAACTAACGAACAAACTCTAATACAATGTGGAAAATTAATGAGTTATTTTAGATTTAACTGAACTTTAGTCACAAGAGGATGACTTGGTGGAAGCGCACACACACACACACACACACACACACACACACACACACACACACACACACACACACACACACACA